ATAAATCCATAATTGTGGGGTTTTTAGCCAATTGCTTAACCATATTTCATCCAATTTAGGTGGGATTTAGTACAAAGATATTCTTTGCATGTCCTAAACAGAGATATCAAGTTTTGGAATTTTTTTCTTTTGCTCACGTTTTCAGCAAAGAAAATACGATTTAGGGTTTTCCTGAATTATTCATGTATATGTCAACCAACTTACACAGGGTTTGATACAAAGATACCTCTTGTAAGTCCGAAGCAATGATATATATATACAGTTTTTGATTTTTCTGTGTTTTCAATATTTTTCTGGTGTCAAACTTGGCTATGTTGGGATTACGAGGCGGGGATATGTTGCATTTGCTCGCGAATGTTGGCCTCTTTAATTTATATTTTTCCTGAGCTTTACTTCAGTTTGAATTTACAACTTTTCTAACTATTACGTCACTATTTACTGCTTCTGTGAATTTAAATATTAGATAAAACTAAACATTCGATGATACATTTTATCTAATTTATACAATTATATTTTGTTAAGGTCAACGAAAACAGTCTTTGACCTTCATCCTCTGAAACTTTGTCAACTTCTTTTTTATAATTATTATCTTGTTAGCGGTGCCAGAAGGTTTTTTTTTCTGTCTGAGGGTTTTCTTTCGTAATTATAGCCTTCAATTTGTGGATTAAAACATTGCTCGGATTAGTTTTGGATGTAGTTCCGGATTCTTTACTGTCGTGCAAGATTTTCTACCTCACCGTACAACTTTGAAGGCTACGTTTTTTGAAATGTAGAGTTATTTGGCATTACATCATTTAAAAATACTACTAAACAAACAAATATCGTTCTTCAGAAAGAACTCTGTGTATATATATATATAAATCTCCAGTCATGAATCTAGTCGTTGATGCATCAGACTGTCGAATGGTGGGGAATTCATTGTGAACCAGATCTATAGGTGCTAAGCATGTCGCCTGTGGCACTGCAAATCACACATGTGGCGATATGCTATTGCATCAGCATACGCAAGTTATTCATACAAAATACTAAAATCCTCTTATTTGAAATGTTTAATACATGGCAAATGTTTTTTTTTTGTAATCACACACTATAAACAAACAAAAGAGAACAGACAAAAATTAAACTTATACAGCTAGAAACTGGTTTTCGATACCCGTTGTGGGCAGATCACAGATAGCCCTTTGTGTAGCTTTGTGCTTAAAAACAACACAACCAACAGCTTACCAAACGTTATGTTATTGTATAGACAAACTTTTGAATCATTTATATATGTTTGTTCGTTATCATAATGCCCCCTAATGGTGCAGCTGTAAGCCCAAAGGCTTATAACACTAAAACCCATATTTCGATATCTGTGGTGAGTACAGCACATATAGCCCATCGTGTAGCTTTGTGCTTTGTAAACAAACAGATAGTTATAAGAATTTTCATTTCCCTAAAATAATACGTGATATTAAAATATAATGTTTTGTTGAGGTTACAAATATCATAGAATCTTCTTAATAAATATTTGTATGATGTCATTTGTATTCCATTTTAAGATGGACGATATTAGATCTTTTATTGCTGGGAAAAGAGAGTGGAGAGCACCTGAGCTTGCCTAACACCCTTTTCTTTTAGTTTCTCTTTGATCTTCTCTTTTTTTCCCCCGCTTTTAGTATGTTTACTTAATTTTAAATAATGTTATAGCTCTTTCGTGGTATTTTGGTTATTAAATTATCATTATATTTTATTTTTCTATTATATACTTCCTATTTAAAAAAGGCTTCGATATGGGATCTTTGAAAATTTGGCACAAATTGTTCTTAGAAAAGCAACTAGTGTTATAGCGCAACTTGTCTTTCAGGGTTACCCTTCTTATAATTAAGAAAAACTCCAAAACATTGGTTCAATAATTTTCAAATTTCATAAGTGGACCGGAATTAAATGCATACGATTAAATTAAATGCCATGGCGATTCACGGGTATGGTCTTACAACGCTAAAATCCTGGATTCGATTCCTCGTGATGGACGGCACGCTGATAGACAAATGAATAGCTTTGCGCTGATACAGAATAAAACGAAGAATTAAGTACATAAGCTATGTGGAACTATAGGTCTAATATTTGTGAGGAAAACCACGATAGCTGCAATTCTTTTTTCACATTGCTCTTAATTTATCCCTTCCGGATTAAAAATTAGTATTGGGAAAAAGGTAGAACTGAAACGCTATTTTTACCTGCTTCTCGGTTTGAATCCGCAATGGACAAATTTAGAATAATGTGGGAAAAAAATATTTCAGTTAACTTAATTTTTATTACAAATCTTAAGTCTATTGGTTTCTAATGATTTGCTGGATTTCAGCGATGAACTGTAATTACGTCGAATTAGATTTATCTTACAAGTATATTTTTTATTTGTATGACAAAATTAAAATGTTAAAAATCTAAATATGATGTAACATAGGTAATATACAGTTGTTTTACCAACTTCACATAGTAAATGTTAAATAAGTCAGCTTTAATTCTACAAATCTGTTGGAGGAACTGGAATTAGTTTATTGTAAAGTAAACATTTTTGTGAGACTTAGTTTTCATTATAATGACATTTTGATTTTATATCTACATATACGTTTGTATAATAATTTACAGATGAAGTCACAGTAAAATTTAGAGAAGCTCTTGAATAGTACGTTAAAACAACTGATGATTTGATGAACATATCTTCTTCTTAACATAAAACAGTGGCTTTTAGAAAAAACTAAAATAACTACAAATTTAAACAGTCAAATATATATATGTTCATAATAACAAGCAGAAATGAATGAATAGGTCACTGTTTCCTAAGGCACAATAAAAGTCTTTTATTAAGCGCAAGTGAAGAAATTAAGAAAGTAGTGTCATGGGAATAAACAATTTAATTTAATATCCAAGAAATATTATTTCATAATTATGTGTTCATAAGTCCTATATCAAACTTAAAACTTCTAAAACATATAAAAATTAGTGCAATTTTTAAACAAAACCACAAGTCACATTAAAAGCTAAAAATATCTCGCATGTAATAACGTTGTCTGTTACTAAATGTATTCAAAACCAAACGTTCTGAAATTCATCCGAACTGTTTTCATGTTACTATTGAGGATATTGGTTTTGATTAAGCTGATTGTTCCATATTTTTTAGCATTTTTGTGATAATATATTTTAAGCGTGGTTTAAATATATTTGTTACATGGTTTTTATTGTAAAAAAAATTCGATGGTATAAATGGAGTTCGTATTTGAGTTTTATTTGGCATATAAAGAATTAATATGCCTAATGCCTGTGCATATAAAGAATTAATATGCCTAATGCCTGTGCAGAATTGATTGTGATTATATTGCGCTGGTTTTTCTCACCTGATGTAACTACTTATTAGTTATCTGAAAAAAAGGAAAAGCATGTGAAGTAACGGGTTTCGTCGACTGATACATAAAAACAAAAATACTTTTAATTAAGTATGTGATCAAGAAACGTATATATTTAATATTTTATTTGTTGTATGTTGTTATACATTTATTTTATTATTTAACTAGCTTGAGTACCCGTCCCCTGGACGGAAGTTATGTAAATTCGTGATTAATGAAACGTTATCTCAGGACATGAAAAGTTTATTCCCTTATATGTAATTGGAAAAAACGCCAATTAAAACTGCAAAACACAAAATGTGAAACCAGAAATTTTCATGTATCTCCGCACGGACGCAATGAACCTCCATACCAAATTTGGTGAAGATCCATTTAGAGGAGGTGAGGTAGTGGTAAAAAAATGCAGAAACGCCCATAAAAACCGCAAAACTGAAAATGTGTATGTATCTACCCACGGACCCAATGAACCACCATATCAAATTTGGTGAAGAGCTATCTACAGGAGCGAATTAGTGGTAAAAAAAAGCGAACACGCCCATAAAAACTGCTAAACGCTAAATGGTAAAATGAAAGTTTGTATGTACCCCCGCATAGACCTAATGAACCTCCATACTAATTTTTATGAAGCTCCATCCACACCCTGCGAAGTAGTTACATGGACATACAACAGACAGTACTATTATATTTATATAGATAAATTGCTTGGTGTATAAATTGAAAATATAAAGAATGTATTCCTACGCTCTATAATGTTAAAATGTTAAAACAACATTATCATAGATATCTACGCCATATTTTTGCATTTAGTTGAATGAACTCTCACTAATATGATACCAGTTTTACAGCTTTCAAATGTATCCGAAAATATGAAATAGAAACCGGCTAATGTAATCCAGAAGAAACTATTTGTTTCACTGTATAGACATGAACATATATTTAGCGAGTTTTAACACGTTGTTGTAGTATTTATATATAAGTTACATGATTTTGAAATAATAGACTAGAAGGAAAGTAGCTACTCAACACTAACTCTTGCGTTACTCTTGTCAGAACAAATTGTTAAATTTGATCGCCACTCTCAAAACGCACCCAGCATGGCTCTAAAATGTGCATTTTTTGTTGAATTGATATTAGGCGCAAACCGCGGAACGCTAGCTCCAAATTTTACATACTAACCAATGTGCTCTATAAACAAGCAGAACTATTGAACAAAGTCGAAAAGTATACATGAAATACGTTTGTTTTTATTAGTTTTTTTTCTTTTTACATTTATAAAACTGGTGTCTGGATTAGTTTAAGGGAATATTCAATGTTGGTTCTACATGGCATGAAGCTAGATATTTATATTTTCAAAAAGATCTTTTATCTATATGTAACTATATAAGTTTATTATTGGAGCGAAACAAAATTTCCAAAAAATTAGTTGATAAGAAAAATGAAAAATGAACGTCAACATAATAATTCTTAATACATTACAATGGTTTAGCGTGGAAACAAATAATTCACTTCTACCCCGTCAATGAGTGGACCCTACCTTGTATAGTGTTGTGAAAGATATGTGGTACTATGCGCCTCCAAGAACGCCAATCAGTTTTCACAACGGTACCGAAGTGATCGTTCACTGCCCTGTGTGGCGTGCTCACTGCTGCTTTCTTTGGTAATGAATATCAGAACTCTAAGTTATTGTGTAACAGAAAAATCTATTAGAGTTGGCTAGTTATTACTAGTCTCTTTGTGAAAGCGTTGATTATTTCCATAGACATTATGCCATTGATACAGGTGAAGATAGTGAGGAGGACTCTTGTATTGTACAAGCTTTGGCTCGAGGTCTTTATTTGCTATGTTCTTCTCCCTCCAGTTTTAAGTGAGTTAACACTTTTATGTGATATTCTCTACCGAAGGGTTTTCATATAATATCCTTTTTTTGAGAGATTGAGTAATATGATTCTTAACATATGAAGTTATTACAATAAATAGACGAATTTATTTAGCTATTAGACGAAGACATTTCTCTGGTTTCTATAAGTCATTTAACTCTCTAAACCTGCAATAAAACTTTCCATTCCTAACTCAGAGCAAAGGAGGCATATGCTTGTAATTGATACAGAATGGTATTCTATATTGCCCCTCTTTTCGACATTTGCAATAGCTTGTACATCATACTGATATAGCAATAAATATTCTTTTTTAAATCTAAGCTGTCACTGAATATACGTCATATGTTTGTCCAAATGAGTTTTGAAAACAACTTTTTCTCAAAGGAATAAAAATTAGAAATATGTTTTCTGTACATCAAATAAATACGTTAACAACATAGATTTTCAAGTTATTGGTTGCCTTTATCATGTAAATGAAGTTCTCAGAACTGGTAGCCTTATCCTAACCAGTTCTAACTTTAAGTCTACAGATTCTGAATGAAAGGAAAAAAATTATAGTAAAATTTAGAAACTATCATTGTATTATTTTAGGCTTATGAACACTTTAAAAATTAAAATATTCAACAGCTATTTTGTAAATGGGCAAATAATTAATATAATTAGTTGTTTGTTTTTTTACATAGAAGCTTTAGAAAACAGAAGAAATTAAATTATTGTCATGTAGCAAAAAAAAACGGGTTCTATTTTAATATAAGTGCATAATTTTTTTTTATTCTGCAAAACTCTTTCTCACTGAAAAATTTATTCCTCAGACAAACAGTTAGAAAAGTAGTGGTGACATAGATTAAACATACATATGGGGTGGCCACTGGCGTTTCAGATAATTTCCCAGTATGAGCTTAATTAAAACAATTATATATATTGCTAGCATAAAAGTAAACATTTTTCTTATTGAGTCTGATTCTGTGGAAAATTGTTTTTTATTATAGGTTAGAGCCTTTAAATTTTTTCTTATATTAAGCGTATGTTTTGTTCTCAATTTGATGTTATAATGATAATAATTACTTGAAACTCACGTGATAAATATTGTTTCGTTAAATCCAAATTTTAAGTGTTATGATATTTCACAGACGCCTTTCGGTAAGACATTTTATACACATTTAGTTTCATAGAGCATTGATAACATCAAAATGGTTTATATAAATATATTTTTTTATAAAATTCAATGGCTGAATAAAAGAACACTTCTGACAATTCCATAAGTTAGAGAAATTATCAAATTATATCTTGAAGGCAATCATGGTAAATGAAGTAATATGGCTTTTTGTTTCGTATTGTTACTGTCTATTTTGGTTTCAGAAGAAAAGAACTTATTTAATTCGATTATATCAATAAGCAAATACAGGTACATCCGTAGACTCCATCCCACACATATGTATGCTAATATTCTTCTTAATGATATAACTTTAAGTCTTAAATCGTGGTACTTTATACGACTGACTAAATAATTAATATTATCGTTTTAATGTAAATTGCTTATATTCACACACTGATAAATCTTGAAGTGGGCATTATTTTGTGTGGGTGGGTGTGCAAACTACAAGTCGAAACACACAATTCCAACTTGTAATAAAGCTTCACTCATGGCGTTGTTTGGTTTACGTAAATGTTAGTTTCATATCTTTTCAGAGATTAAAGCTCGAATGTTTGAATAAATAATATCTTAATAAATATTAAGTTTTATAACTCTCGTATGATTTTGTTTGTTCGTTGTTAAGCGCAAAGTTACACAATGGGATTGCCTGTGATGTGCCTAATTCGAGTATCGAATCCCGATTGTCAGCGTCATAACAATCAGACTTACTGTTGAGCCACTGGGGGAACATCCCAAATGATAAATATATATTTATTAGCCCAATAAACAACAATAATAGTTGCATATGATCTTAAAGATATTTCCTTTGAAACTGTTTAAGATAATACACTTTATCGATTGAACCCGTCACTATCAACCAAATTTATGCAATGATTGAGATGATAGAGGTGCCCGCTGTGAATACCGTATATCAATTAAAGCTATACAGGCTCTATAACTGAACTAGATGGAATGCAATGAGTAAGCACCACTCAGCGCCAACTCTCTGGCTACTTTGTCAATCCGAATAGTGGGAGTTGATCGTCACTCTTATAACGTACACACGTCTATAAATTGGAGAGTGTGTTTCTTGTTTGTTTGTTTGTTATTTTTGCGGTAATGAACACGACAGAGAGAACATCCGATCCACACTAACCACAGTATTATAAAGAAGATTAACCTTCCTATAAATATAAACGCAGTAAGATTATGAGTGACGTAAATAATATTCTTCGGTTATTTTAGCGTTAGTACTATGAAATTTCTGTAAGTAGTTAATGAATAGTAAACTGCGATAAGCAAGAAACATAAAGTAAAGGTGTTTAATGTTAATGAATAAAACAAGCCCAAACAAAAAACAAAATTAAATGCAAAGAATAAAAAAACGCTGCATAATTTAAAAGAATCCACAGGGTACAGGCTATAATATGGGATATAAAATGTGTCCTGAGTTTTGGAGGTAACTGCGAAAGTAGGACCCAAATTGGAGATACACTGTCTATCAGTCTTAATCTCCGTTCGCCAGTCTCGCATGAAGAAATTCATAATAAAATCATCAGAAGAAATACAAGTTAGGAGAGCGAGATGGATATTCAGGCCCACAACGTCCCACATTTATATCATCCTTCACTGCCTGCAGACAGTTGTGGGACCCCTCGAGGTAGATTCCTGTACGTGGTGAAGGGACCTTCCAGGGAAGGTTCTGTATTTTTAGTTTATTTCCTCTGAGATGTGAATATTCCCCATGTGTTTTTCGTAAGTGGCGACCCGTGAAGGGGGAAGAGGATCCTTGTGATAGAAGCTGGTCCTATTGGGCTAGGGTCAACTAAGTACTAGTGTTGGGCGTTCTCAGCTGAAGTTGTGGACATTGTGTCTGATGCTGGTGTTTGGTATAATTTTCATGAAGTCCTGGAGTTGCTGCAATGTCCTTGTTTGGCATTGTAGTGCATCCGCTCATAGGACTCTATGGTGGGTTGGAGGCACTGAATCGTATTTATTTTATTATACATAACCTAAGTTCTCTTTCTAGAAAAAAACAAAAAAAAACAACAAAGACTCAGGTAATACGTAAGCGGCCATGTATAGGAGACTGTTAAACAGTTACCACCCAAGTCAGCTTCTTTTTCTGACAAATCCTTAGAGCAAATGTCTCCCTTTTTCATTCATTCTCAAGAAGTCAAGGGCCCTTGATAACATACCTACTGAGGTTACTCCCCATGCAATTATGAACTCCTCACACGGAGTTACTGTTGAAAGGTATTTGAAAAACATCTCCGAATCGCAGATTTTCTCTAGTTTCCAAGGCAAGAAGTTTCCATCCTAATTTGGATGACATTAAAGCCTTAACTGATTCCTCTCATCCCGTGTGTTTCTCTCCTTACAGGAAACATTCATGAGACCTGCTGATGATGCCACCTTTTGGCAGTTTTCTTTATATCAGAATTCGTTGAGGGTGGTACTGCAGGTTGACCAGCAAGTACCAACCTTGTCTGTACCACCCAATACATCCTCGGAGGCTGTAGATGTCTGAATGTACATGGATTGTACCATCACTGTTCTATCTACTTGTCTCTTAGATAGACTTACAATCAATCAGATCTTGATGCTTTCATAGAACAGTTGCTGTCTCCTTTTTTCATCTTGGGAGACATTAATGGACCAAATTCCATATATGGTGGTGCTGATATTGATTGGAGGGGTCGTTCTTTGGAGTGTATGCTCTCAGATCACAACTTTTTCTCACTTTAAAACTGGTTCTTTTACCTGCTTTCACGCATCTACTCAGTCTTTTACTGCTATTAATCTATCTCTGTTCCCCTTCACTTTTTTTTTCATTTTCATGACATATTGACAGTGACACACTGGGCTGGGATCATTTTCCCATCGTTTTGAAGAAGGTTGGCCATGATCAATGCCACTTGATCCGAGTACCATGATGGAATAGGAGCAGGATGACTGGCTCTCTTTCACCTCTCTTGGAACTTGATCCTGCTGTTATTAGTCTTCCATATATTAACGACTGTATCGAAGGGGTAACTTATTATATAACTCAAACACTTGTTCATTCCATCCCCACACCATCGACACGTTTCTCATGGTATCTTCATCCATGGTGGTTTCCTGCCTGTCAGCCGGCATGGAAAGCTCAGAAAAGGGCCTGGGATGTCTTTTGCAGGTATCCCACTCTTTCCAACTACATTGCTTTTCATCGGCCCGTGCCCGTGCTCATAAGTTCAGATGTTAAGGTCAGAAGGAATTGTGGATTAAGTTCACCTCCAGCATTTCTTTTACTACCAGTTCCAAAGTCCCATCCCCCCTTTTCAGTCTTGCTCTCCAATGGCCAGGAAGTTTATGTCCAGAACATCGTCGATACTCTCGGGGCGTGCTTTTCTTATCTGTCTAGCACTTACATTTCTTCCCTTGCCTTCTTGGCCATCAAGTCTCAGGCAGAGCAATTGCCTCTCTCCTTTTGGGCTGATCATCTCTATGACTATAATCGCCACTTTTACACTGGGACTTAAGTTTGCTCTTACTTGGTCTAGCAGTACATAAATCGTGCCATCTCTCTCCTGCCTCTCTTGCTCTTCTTTTTGTTGTTTTTAACTAGATCTGACAAGAGAACATTTTTCCTGGTGCTTGGCACAAGCCTATTATTGTTCTACCTTTTTCTAAGCCTGGGAAGGATCCAAAGATTTCTTCTAATTATCATCTTATTGCTTTGACTAGCTGTCTCTGTAAGATTTTGGAGAGAATAGTTAATGCTAGTCATGTTTGAATCTTTGAATTAAACAACCCTCTCTCGTCTACCCAAAGTGGGTTCCAGCGACAGCACTCCACTGTGGACCACTTGGT